GATATCAAAAAAGTACTCCAGAGTGTTGTTCAGCATGGGGGTGAGTAGAAAATGAAGGCTAATCATGTTTTGGGTGTACTATTCCTTTAAGTTCAGATATCGGTCCTAAACTGAAAAAGTAACTTTTATTTACAGCAGAATTAATTTGCCAATTACATTTTAAGGAGGTTTCTAAACTAATTCCCAAATTTAGAGCAGATTGATCAAAACAAGGCTCCACAGAGTAGAACTAGTTTTCAGCTTTAAATTGAACTTTTTCCTTAAACAAAACCTAAAGGACAACGGTTCTTCACTGCAAAACTAGAGAACAAATTCACTGTGTTGGTTCCGAATAAACACTAAACCCTGTGAAGTCACAGCTTACAAATATCTACTTTAATTAGTAGCAAATCGTTGCCTAGTAAATATTTTATGGACTTTATTGTTGAGTCAAGCATCTTATCATGAAATTAATATGAAGCTCCTTTCCTGTTCTACTTACATTGCAGTGTCCATATAAAATGTAATACTCCCTGCATTTTCTTTTTAAATAATACATTTATTGTTACAAAATATGTCATTTTAAAACCAGTAAATCATATATTTACCTACGTAAAGATAAGATAAAATGATAAGTTGGCTGATTTTCAGATCAATTCAGTAGAAAATGTCCCAAATTGCAAGACATCAAAGCGGCTCCTCGGCTGATTCAAAGCACACGAGAAGCTATGAGATGAGAAAGTTATAGATATAAACTCATGAGCAACACACTTAATCATGAAAATTAAAACAGCAAATTTATAAATGCTAAAAAACTTTATTGACGTTTACAACTTTGACAGGAGATCTAAAAAAAAATTAGGCAGTGATCTGTTAAAATCAGAGTATATTTCTGTTAATGCGTTTGTTCATTCACTGTTTTAACTTCATCTTTATAAAATATGTGTTTTTACAGAGATCTGAGGCTGATTTCTAGACTGAAGGTAACTTCATCAACACAACTGATTTTCTGCTGCTTTCTCACAAATACTTCTTAGAGTATCATTACAATATCTATCAAACCACTTGACAGAGTTTTTTTTCTTCTTTATCCTCACACAGTCCACCTCTGATTCTGGTCCTCCACCCTTACCATCAGGCTCGCCACCTCCCCAAAAACTCAAACTAAGAGATGAAGAACACAAAGACAGAGTTTATTAAGTTTGTTAATTTTAGTTACTTAAACTCTTCAAATGAACAAAATGTTCTCACAACAATCAGACCTTTCGTTTAGTGGAGATCCGTCCACCCAAACCCAGCTGCCTTCTGTCTCTGAGTCCCTCAGTCCGATCCAAAATGAATCCTCATCATTTGTGATTTTCACTTTCACTTTCGTCTCCAGGAACATCTGAGTAGAAGATGGTAGAGATACCTGTGAGACTTTTTGGTGCTGAAATGAAGAAACATGATGATGATCAAATCTGATCGAACATGAACCTGAAACAGTGTTTCATACCTGCTCCTCTCTGCTGTCTATTTTCACCAGGTCTCCTTCTAAATCTATGCAGGAATCTCTGCTCTCATTCCAGGTGGAAGTTGTGTTAGAGAAATCATAACAGTTTCCTCTGTAAAGCTCCCAGCCTGCTTCACACTTCAAACATGTTTCATCTGTGAACAGATCAGAACAAAGACCTCACTGAGTCAGGAGGAAGAAATCTCTGTAGATGTTTGTGAGATTTGGAGGCAGCAGGAGGCGTCTTCTGTCCCACAGCTACAATCGAACGTCCTGTACCCAACAGTCCATCAGTGTCACTATAACATCATCAGAGCATGAACATGAGAAAGAGATGAAATCACGTACTCACTCTTTGATTCAGAAGTTGCAGTATCTATTTTCCAGGGCTTAATTTCTATAAAAACAAACAAAGAAAATCAACAGTGTGTCTTTAGGATTATTATTCTTTTGGGTGGGACAATCTCAATTAAAAAATGAGAAAAAGAAAATATTTGCAAGTTAGAGGAAAGAAAGAAAAAGAATGCTCTTCTTTTAATATTCTTTTAAATGATCTAAGTATCCAATTTATCTGCAGCTCAAGCCGAGGTTGGATTTTTTTATTCTTTTATCAAGTTTGAATCAAAAACTGTCACATCTTGCTTCTTTAACATTTAATCAAATTCTTTGTTTACGTTTTCATTGTGTTTTAAGTCTCATTTTTAATACTTTTTTATTATTTTACTATTATGCTTATGAATAAGGTTGATATAAATAATGTCTTGTTTGCACCTGTTTTCCATCTTGGCCAGGAAATCCTTTTAAAATAGATTCCAAATTCCAATGGGTTTATTTCCTGATAGAATAGAGAAATTTTTCTCCCTCTCAGCCCCTCCCATCCCAGTGTATGTGATGAATGGTTTGTACTGAAACTGAAATCTCGATCACAATGTAAATTGTAGTTGACAATAAAGAAATTGATTGATTTAACCCATCCCCTTGGGGAACAGTGGGCTGCCATTGTGTGGTGCCCGAAGAGCAGTGTGGGGTTAAGGGTCTTTACTCAGGGACCCAGAGTGACACGGTGTGGGAGTGGGGCTCAAACTCAGAACCTCTGGATTCCAAGCTCTACTTCCTAACCAATAGGCTGCCACTTCCCCGAAAGAAATATGGATGAATAAAAATGTTAAAAAGAAAAACTACATAAACTTACTGACTGCAAGGAAAATAACTGTAGCGGCCAAGACAGCAAGGAGGACCAGCAGAACAATTCGCTTGGAGATGACCTTTGACCTCCTGCTCTGTCCAGTTTGTTGAACTTCCACTGGATTCCTGGTAAAGACTGAGATTAGAAACAGATAAATTCTATTAATTGAAAATCAGTGAACTCATTAATCAGGTCAGATGTTTTAACCTGATATTAATGTAGGAAATGGCTTCTCATCCATTAACAGGTTTCAAGCCTGATTCTGACATATCTTAAATCTGACAACCAACTATTCAGACACCACCCCTCACCACGACAACGCCTCACAGGGATATGCCCCCACTACCTCAATTATAAGATGCCATTTCAATACGAGTGTATTCCTACGCTGAACAGGGCTACTCTTCACTAACACTTGTATCAGATAACAGCAAGCACGCAATTGTATCTGTCTGCACCATGCAAGACTACACGACCCTCCTCCTTAAGGCTGTGTATACTCCCGCAGCAGTGTGTCGCAGTTAGATTGTCTGTTAGGTATGACGCAGATGTTTTTGCCAGGATCCGGGGCTTTCCCCACCAGAGGGCGCCGTGGAGCCTGGGGAGCTTGGACTCAGCTTGATCAGCTGTTTACTATCTGCTGATTAAGGAAGCTCCCTATATAAGCTGAGTGTGAACTTCCCTCTGTGCTGGAACGTGTGTCTTACCTGTGCCACCATGCCTGTCTGAACCTGCATCTTCTAAGTCTGTCAACCGGTTCCAATAAAATACTGGACTTTTAATCCTCCCTCTGTGTCTGTGAGTCTGCATTTGGGCTAGTAAAACTTTTGATTTATGCCCAATTTTGAAGCGTGGTCTGCGCTATATTATTCCATGCCAAGAGGGAGAATACCGAACTAGCTGGGATGTTGGGTGTCCATGTGTCAGTTTGCCGAGCTTGTTCGCCATCTACAACCCCTCATCCAACGCTGGACAACACACAGTTCATCCGTGACTGTTGCCGAAAGACTGGGCGTAGTGCCGCGTGTTTTGGCTTCGGTTGCAAACCAACAGATCGTCGCACAGAGCTACAAACTAGCGTCCTGTACGGTGTCTTGGATAGGGTCCGAGGTGTGCCAGGCATTGTGGACGGCACTACAGCCAGAGTTTCTCCCTTTAGGTACTAAACACGAAACACGTATAGTTTAGAGCAGATCTCTCTCTCCTCCCTGCAACGCTATCTGTGGCACTGTCTGCAGTCACCAACAAATTCTTTTGGGTGGTGCACCAGCGTGTCTGTGGGGGGATGGGGCATATCTGCGTTAACTGAGACACACACGCATATGACCTGGTTTTTGAGCAGAAACCAGGCTTAACTCCTAATAGGGTTGGTTTTATCTCAACATGACTCATCTCTGTCTTCCAGGCCGAAGACAGACCCCTCTGCAAGCGCGAGACAAGAAGGACAGATGTACAGGTACCATGGAAATGAACGGGTGCTGTGTGGGACCATAGGGACATGCTACACCCCAGCAAAAAGGAGGCAGACACAGCTGAACTCTGCATTGACCTGAGCCTACGGTCTAAGAAAAACACAACAGCACAGAACCAGCTTAGGAGCAGTCAGGGCGTTATGCTGTTTTTTTATACGTTTTTTATTTTATTTAACATTGAATTTTCTATTATACTATTTTGAAATACAGGCTTTTTTAAAAGATGTTTGATGTGTGTTTCCAAATGCCTTAATACTCCTGCTTGGCAGCTGTCAATGGTTCTGAAGCAGCATGTGGCTTGACATAATATTCCACTGCATTGATTCTTACAGGGTAACATTAGGTACAAACATTTAACAAAATCACAGGGAAAACATAAAAAAAAGTTAAAATGTGGAGTCTGAAGAGTATGTTTGTATGTCTAATGATGATAATAATAATACTAACAGTTGCCTTTTTTAACCCACCTGGTTTCTCCATTTGTGAGCTACTGACTGTAGAATAGGTCTCATCATTTGATGTCGCATCACCTGCACAACAGAGAAAATATTAAAGAAGGATATTAGATAAATAGACAGACAGGCAGACAGATCGATAGATGGATGGACAGACAGATAGTTACCTCTGGCTTCATGTCTTTTAAACTTCACTACAGCGTACGTTACCTGACCTTCTGCCATCCTCCTGCTGAGACTGAAACAAACGTTTACAAGACTCTAATGTTGCAGTCTAATTTAAAGCTTCCTGGTGGCAGAGGGGGCAAAAAAACCCAGGAAGTCCTGAATTATATTTATAGTCTGCTGCTATAACTCAGTGATGCAAAAAAAATATAAGCTGAGATGAAGCTAAGTATTTAAATGTGGATTTAAGGCGGAATAATTTTAGACAGGAGAACACAGATGAGATAATGGACACCTTGCTCATCTACAGTTCTATAGGTTTTTTAGAAACCTATGGTGTCCAGTGAACACCATAACTCCTTATATGGTTGGTTCACAAGCCTTTAAAGAAGTCACGGAAGTTGTATAGTGTGTATAGGTAGGAGGAAATGTGGCCACAATTAGCCTGCTCAACAGTGATGTCATGGAAGCACAGGTTCAGTTCAAGCACTGAAGTCATCACCTGCAGCTTGTCCTTCCCCTCAGACACAAGTACTAAAGCAGAACCACAAAACAGGCTTAAATTGGAAGGCAACTGGACATTCGCTCAGCTTTTCTGAAGACCTCTTGACACCTATTTAGGAGTCTGTGTCAAGTATGTCACTTTGCATTAGAACAATCTGTAGTTGGAGGGCTGATGTCTTTAAGCAGCATAGAGGTTGATCCTTCTAAGCACACTCCAAGTCTGGTGCAAATCAAATAGTCACCCCTTGGTCTTTCAGATTTTTGGAGCCCTTTATTATGCATGGGCTACTTGATTGTTCTATTTAGTCATGATGAGACTACTAATGTAATTTTTTTAATAGTATCCAGGACCAAATTTTACATAATTGGAAGATAAAGCCATAACTTTCCCCCTCTGTTCAGTGATGACCTTTCTCTTTTAACAAAGATAGCTTGACTCCTATTTTACAAAATCAGAAAAGTTGGCACGTTGTGTAAATCGTAAATAAAAACAGAATACAATGACTTGCAAATAATTTTTAACCTATATTCAACTGAATACACTGCAAAGACAACATACTTAATGTTAGGAATCCAGTGTGTGTGGGTTGTGTTTTTTTTGTGT